TGCTGCTCTTGTATTCAGATATGTTGCCAGTGTGATGTGGTTTCCGATGCACCAGTTCAATAACTGGACTGCTTCCCAAGATTTTTAGAATGGTCAGCTCAGCTTTTACTTGACCTCACCAAATGAACACCCCCAAACATCACCCTACTACTTTTTTATGGGCCTGCTTGTGCTTCCTGAGGTTGAAAAACAGCCTTAGAGATAGAAAAATACTGTGGTAACAACAAGCTACCACACAAAGTCTGTTAAAATGATTTTTACCTTTTGAGTTAAACCTCATTCAGAATGATGGAAAATCTTTATTAAGACAGAAACCGTAACTCATGACAGAAGTTAAAAACATAAGAATAGCCATACTGAGTCAGACCAACGGTCCATCTAGACCAGTATCCTGTCTGCCTGCCAACAATGGCCAATGCCAGATGCCCCAGAGGAAGTAAACACAACAGGTAATCATCATGTGATCCCTCTCATGTCATCCATTTTTAAACAGAGGCTAGGGACACCCTTTCTTACCCCTCCTGGCTCATAGCCATTAATGGACTAACCTCTATGAATTTATCTAGCTCTTTTTTGAACTCTATTAAAGTCCTAGTCCTCACAACATCCTTTGGCAAGGAGTTCCACAGGTTGACTCTGGGCTGCATGAAGAAAAACTTCCTTTTGTTTGTTTTAAACCTGTTACCTATTAATTTCATTTGGTAACCACCTCCTCCCCAATTTCTTATATTATGGGAACAAGGAAATAACTTCTACTTATTTACTTTTTCTACACCAGTCGTGATTTTATAGACATCTATCATATCCCCCTTTCATCTCCTCTTTACTAAGATTAAAAAGATTTGGACTTTTTATCTCTCTTCATATGGGATGCATTCCAAACCCCTAATCATTTTTGTTGCCCTTTTCTGAACCTTTTCCAGTGCCAATATATATTTTTTGAGATGAGGCGACCATATCTGTACACACTACTCAAGTTACAGGCTTACCATGATTTTATACAACAGCAATAAGATATTCTCTGTCTTACTCTCTATCCCTTTTTTAATGGATCCTAACATTCTGTTTGCTTTTCTGACTGCTCCTTCACACTGAGTGGATGTTTTCAGAGAATTACCCAAAGTGATTCCAAGATCTATCTCTAGAGTAGTTATAGCCAAATTAGTCCCTATCATATTTTATATATAGTTGGGATTATTTTTTCCAATGTGTATTACTTTAAATTTATCAACATTCAAATTAATTTGCCATTTTGTTTCCCAATCACGGTAGAGAGATCTTTTTGAAGCTCTTCACAGTCTGCTTTGGTCTTAACTACCTTGAGCAGTATCACTTCACTGTTTTCCCCTTTCTCCAGATCATTTATAAATAAGTTGAATAGGATTAGTCCCAGGACAACCTTTGGGGAACACCACTAGTTATCTCTCTCCATTCTGAAAACTTACCATTTATTCCTATCCTTTGTTTCCTCTCTTTTAACCAGCTGTCAATCCATGAGAGGACCTTCCCTCTTATCCTATGACAACTATCTTTACTTAAAAGCCTTTGGTGAGGGACCTTGTCAAAGGCTTTCTGGAAATTTAAGTATACAGTACTATATCCACTTGATCCCCCTTGTCCACATGGTGCTGACCAGTCTGTACTTGCTAGGATCATGTCTAGAGCCCTTTTTAAATACTGGCATCACATTAGCTATCTTCAAGTCATTAGGTAAGTTATATTGTAATACTGTACCATTGTTCTTAGACACTGTGCATCAAAATGCAGGAAATAAAAGTGGTTAAAGACAGTTTTCAGCTTTCATTTTCAATTTCTAGATCTTTGCAGGTGAAATATAGTCTTTTACATTTTATGAATATAGCTGCATTTTTGAAAGAGAAATTACCTCTGTTCTGAACAACGCAAGATCCTTGTTAAGGATACATAGTTTCCCTCGACTGTCCCTCTGCTCACAGTTGGAACTGCTTTTCTGCAAGCCACATATAAGGCACATGCTAGCCAATGTAGATCATTCCCCTGTGAAATTAAACATTATACCATTTAAAGAATAGATTGACAAGTGTTTCTTTTATTTCAGATAGGCATCCAAAATGTAAAAACACGCAAAAGATATTCAAGCACATTTTAAAGGAAATGTTGTAAAACTGACCTCAATTATTTAAAGGAGCTATCGAGACACAATGTAATTCAAGAATTAAAAAAAAAAATGCTAAAATTAGGTAATTTCAAAATTGCTAAAACTAACACTTCAATTTCATATTTAAGCTAAATTTAACATGGGATATTGGGCATGTTCTTTTACTCCTAACAAAAGAAGATTTATTTTAAATGATCTGTCACCTTGTGGATATGAAATGTGCTCCTGGCTACTGGAACATTCTTCTTCCCCCAACTAATTTACAGCAGTTGTATACTGGATTTCATCTATTTATTTATCTACACAACTGAATAATTGCCCATTTAGATGACCACTATAAACTCCTAAAAATTGTTCTTAAAGACACGTTTTTTCATTTTTCCTCAAGGGCTGAGATTGAAAGTTTTCAAGTTAGGCTCTCCAATTGGCTGCACTCAAAATTAATACTTAGAAACATATACACTTTATCCGGATATATGTTTGTTTTATCAAGGTACTTGGAAGAGTCACAAAGGTGAGATTCAAAACATTTTCTGGCAGTGGGCAGAGATATCCTAGTGTCCTATGAGGAAATATTTTATTGGTAAGTCTAGTATGTCACTAATGGAAACCTATCTTCCATAGGTGTAATTTTCCTTCGCTTCCTAGACTGCAGAAGGAAGGGATATCAAGGTGGATAAAAACAGATTATTAAAAAAATCATTTTTATTTAAATCAGACTTGATTTTTAAAGTAATCAGAAATACTAAATTTATTATTTAAAGTTAATAGTTACAATTAAATCTCACCACAAGCATGCTACACGTACATTTACAGTTTCATAAAAATGAATTAATGGCTCTAGTCTGTCCAGTCTAACTGCTAGTTCTTGATTCTTGAAAGTTCTGAGCTTTCAATTTCTTTTCTTAGCAGACAAGAACGTAAGAATGGCCATACTGGGTCAGACCAAAAGTCCATCCAGCCCAGTATCCTCTCTGCCAACAGTGGCCAATGCCAGATGCCCCAGAGGGAGTGAACCGAACCGGTAACTATCAAGCGAGCTCTCTCCTGCCATCCATCTCCAGTCTCTGACAAACAGAGGCTAGGGACACCATTCCTTACCCATCCTGGCTCATAGCCATTAATGGACTTAACTTCCATTAATTTATCCAGTTCTCTTTTAAACCCTGTTATAGTCCTACCCTTCACAACCTCCTCAGGTAAGGAGTTTCACAGGTTGACTGTGCGCTGTGTGAAGAAAAACTTCCTTTTATTTGTTTTAAACCTACTGCCCATTAATTTCATTTGATGGCTCCTAGTTCTTATATTATGGGAACAAGTAAATAACTTTTCCTTATTCACTTTCTCTACACCACTCATGATTCTATATACCTCTATCATATCCCCCATTAGTCTTCTCTTTTCCAAGCTGAAAAGTTCTACTCTCTTTAATCTCTCCTGATACGAGACCCATTCCAAACCCCTAATCATTTTAGTTGCCCTTCTCCATGGGCTAGGAGACTGGAGAGGTGAAACTCTGCTTAGCTAGTTAAACGTTAGTCTAACGTTTCACTGATTAACTACAAGCCAAATACACAGAGAAGAGCTGGAATTACAATTCATCCACAAATTTAATTCTCACACTTGTGGCCTTACTGGAGATAATGGCTGGCTGGGACATTATCAACCAAACGATGAAGGTGCCAACCTTCATCTGTGTAGATTCTTGCGCTAGTACCATATTCTTCCTCTCTAATTGCTACCTTGTGATCCTTATCTGCTTCTTTTAACTATCTAATTTTTAGGTGCTTACAGATTACCAGTTTTGCCTTTTTGGTTTTCCCTTTGATACTTACATGCTCTCTGCTTCTTGTTTCCCATCCCCTTTATTTTTTCCCCTTCCCCTCCTCTCCCTTCTCCCCTATTTATTTTGGGTCTGGATAGCCTAAACTCAATACTTCAGTCATCTAAGGAAGTGGACTGTGTCCGTGAAAGTTCATATCATCACCTACATGTTTTGTTAGTCTATAAAGTGCTACCAGACTATTTGTTGTTTTTTAAGTTTATCCTGTACGGCAGCGGTCTCCAACCTTTTTACACCCAAGATCACTTTTTAAATCTCACAACAAACAAAGATCTACTGCCCCATCCTTCCCCCAAGACCCCACCCCTTCCCTGAAGCCCCGCCCTCTCTATTCTCCTCCTCTCCATCACTTGCCATTCCCAGCCCTTGTACACTCTACACAGCCACTTTTTTTCCAATTCTTATGTAGGAAGATGTTTTTCCAACATTTGGCCTGTCTAGACTGGACCAAATGTTAGGAAAAAAACCTTCTTTTTTAATCCTCCTTATTCTTTGTGGAACGAGGAATACAGGTGTTACCGAAAGAGCATGTTTGCTCTTTCACTAAAAAAAAAAAGCAGAAGAACAAATGCACCCCTGGATGCGGAAAAGTTTTTCCAGGATCTCTGGAATCCTGGAAAAACTCCTGCAGTCTAGCCGTACCCTCACCAAGTTGAGACAGGATGTGTGGGCTTTGGGGTGGGAATGAGGGATTTGGGTGTGGGAAGGGGTGAAAGGTGCAAGCTCTGGGAGGAAATTTGGATGCAGGAGGAGGTGGAGAAGGGGATGCTGGTTTGGGGAGGAGGCTTCAGGCTGGGGAGTGTTGGGGTCAGATGGAGGGTTGTGGTACTAAGCAAGCCACAGGCTTTTGGGTGTGGGGGGGGGGGGA